CAAAATGTAAAATACTGTCCCATCGAGGAGTAGCTTCTCTCTCAACCAACTTGATTATTTTTGTTTGAATGAATTTGAGTGAACTGGGCAAGTGGAATAAAAGCTCCAGCCCTGGATCTGGGGTTGGGGATGAAGATGTCCCTGGATGAGAGGGGAAGTGAAGCTCAGTGAACTAGGGCCGAGGATGCACACAGAGCTGCCTTCCAACCTTCCACAGTTTGTAAGGGGGTTTGGTTGTTTAAAGGAAGATCCTGCTTGGTAGAGAGAGGTTTATGATCCCCATGGAAAAATCCTAAACTGAAACAAAATATGCACCACATCCAACTCATGTTTTCATTCAAAAACTGCCTTCTTGGCCTGGGGATTTAGCTCAGTGTCCCTGCACCTGCCTCGAAAGCTTCAGCTCCTGCGTTTGATCCCGGCTACCGAACAACAAAACAAAAACCCAAAACCAAAAACTACCTTCTCTTACTAGACAACTTGATCTCTGGGACTCTTCTCTTGAAAGCATGGTTTACTTCCCAATATTTAACATCCACTCCTTTAGTTCTTGTTGTCAGAGTTTTCACCTATTTCTGGATTATCTTAGACACCTGACACATTTTCATGGTCATAATATTTCTATACAATCCATAATCTTTCTCAACCTGACATTTCAATATCCTTACCTAAACCCTCTTCCCTGTGAAGAAGGGAAGAATGCCCTCAGCCTCTGTGGTGGAGGGGGAGTGTCGCCCGAGAAGGTGGCGTCCTTTTGATTACTGCACCAGACTTCCGTCTTTAGCGTTCATCTTGGAAGGGCAGACCCATTGCGATTCTTTAGCCTGTTTAAAAGTGCCCTCCCTCCAAAAGCATTGGTCTCTTAGTCCCAAATCTCATGTGAGAATTAGCAAAAGGAATTTGGGTGTAGCATGGAGACAGAATGGGCAGTCTTCGGTGTCAGAGTTCCAGTGGGAGTTATTAAGTAGTTCATTACTACCACACACACACACACACACACACACTCTCTCTCTCTCACACGCACACCTCTGCTGTCCAAATTCTTGCAATGCCCCAGAAGACTGAAATCTAATCTGTGATTCTCTGGGTTCTGGGGAAACTGGAAACTGGTCTGTCTCTGGAAAGAGCGACCGTATATGGTCATTCACTCTCAGGGCGATGTGCCCAGGTGTGGGAAGCCAGCCATGGCCCACTGGCTTTTTGAAAGATAACATTTGTTCCTTTTTAAGGACTGCACGTGTTAAACTTGTTTTGGACCCTGCACGGGAGAAACTCGGACAGCCAAAGATCTGTAGGAGTCAGGTGCTTCCTGTTAAAGATCTGACGTTCTCTGTAGGAGTCAGGTGTTGTAGCTCCATTTTGTTAAGTTCCTCCACCTATTTGGGAATCATGATTATTAGTTGCAAGTGTTGTTAATTTGTTTTTCTTGAGCCGGCTTTCTCTTTCCCGTGTGAATCCTCGTTCCCGTGGAGTGGGTGTTGAGGTTACTATGGTAATCCTAGCCCATAATAGTTTGGTCTTTTCCTTTAAAAGGCTGATGCCTGCCTGCAATAAACGTCGCCTTGATCAGACTCTTGTCTTGGCGTCCTTCCTTTCTCTCTGCCCCATCTCCACCCCGCTGCTCTTTCAGGTTTGAGACACTGCTGGACAGTGCGCTGCGTCGCCGGCTCGCGACACCCAGGGGACAAGTGCCTCTTGAGGAAGCGAAAGCATTCTACCTCTTGCACAGGTGCGTGGCCCTTCAAAGGCTTCGCTACATATAGGTGCTTAAGAGGTGTTTGGTGTTAAATTTTCTCGTGGGGTGCAGGTAGGAAAAACACTTCAAAAAGCACCTTCTAGGGGAAATAGTGGCTTTATTGACTCAATGAATCTGTCTCGCATGGCTCAGGGAGGGTCACAGACCTGAGCCGTGTGTCACGTTCTAAGCCCTTCTTGGTCAAATATTAATGCGTGGTAACAATTTGATATCTTGCAAAAAGTATGCTCGATGTGTTGCATTTCTTGAGCTTCTTTACTTCTCTGGGCCTCATTTTCAATGACTATTGAAGGCTAAAGGATGGAATTTGAGGCAGGCATAGAAGGAGAAGGGAGATTTGTTTCTCTATATATCTACTCTACTGGAGTATTTGCCTTGAGAGAGGGATTCCAGTACAGGTCCAGTGGCTACTCCTGAAAGAGGCTAAATACAATGTGTTTTTTCTCTTCTGGTATAAAATATAGGCCTTGAGGGCAGAAGGTATATCTTCAGTAGATTTTAAAAAACTAAAATGCCTTGGATTGTTTACACAGTCAAAAGTTATAAATCTACTTCAGTTATAAGAGCCTTGGGGTAAAATGGGAAGAAGGGATAGAGGTGAAAGAAAGTTCAGGTTAACATAAAATAGTCATCGTGGGTTTTATGCAAGTATGTTCCTGAATTACACGAGTAACCTTGAGGTTAATTCTAGCGGCCAAGTGAGTAGAATGGATCTAAGAACAGGAAATAAACTGATTCACATGTAGATTCTGACCTAACACAGTTGAAAACATTCCCCCTCTTTTCACTAGTTGGTGAAACATATTTAAGGTACTGTAACTACTCTGCTATAAAGAAGAATAAATCTCAAATCCTTTGTACAGAAATGGATGAACCTTGAATCTATAGTATCAAGTGAAATAAATCAGACACATGCATTTAAATATCACATGGTTTCTCTACTATGCAAAAACCATAGAATAAAATTAAAAAGCAAAATAAAAGATAATAGGAAACAGGAAGACAGATCTTTTGCAAATAGGAAGGGGATCAAGAGACAGAAGGAGGGAAGAGAGGGGTGAGAAAAGAGAGATGAAAGGATAAAGATGTTTTATGTCCACGTGCCATCCACACAGCGAGGGTGTTCATTATGTACTGCATATTAATATAAAATATTAAAAATAAGACATTCCAAAATGTCTACCATTTACTAAAAGTGTATAAAACGAACAAATGAATCAAGATACATTTTGTAAAGGTACAATTTCCCTACGATGAATGTGATCATTATGTAAATCTAAATTGTGCCAATAAAATTAAAAACGATAAAAGCAAACAAGTGCTTTTAATAATTGACTGGAAACAACAGAGTCAGCAGAGAGAGCATGGACGAAATACGTCTGGAGTCATTGCAAGACCCAGGGGACAAGTGCCTCTTGAGGAAGCGAAAGCATTCTACCTCTTGCACAGGTGCGTGGCCCTTCAAAGGCTTCGCTACATATAGGTGCTTAAGAGGTGTTTGGTGTTAAATTTTCTCGTGGGGTGCAGGTAGGAAAAACACTTCAAAAAGCACCTTCTAGGGGAAATAGTGGCTTTATTGACTCAATGAATCTGTCTCGCATGGCTCAGGGAGGGTCACAGACCTGAGCCGTGTGTCACGTTCTAAGCCCTTCTTGGTCAAATATTAATGCGTGGTAACAATTTGATATCTTGCAAAAAGTATGCTCGATGTGTTGCATTTCTTGAGCTTCTTTACTTCTCTGGGCCTCATTTTCAATGACTATTGAAGGCTAAAGGATGGAATTTGAGGCAGGCATAGAAGGAGAAGGGAGATTTGTTTCTCTATATATCTACTCTACTGGAGTATTTGCCTTGAGAGAGGGATTCCAGTACAGGTCCAGTGGCTACTCCTGAAAGAGGCTAAATACAATGTGTTTTTTCTCTTCTGGTATAAAATATAGGCCTTGAGGGCAGAAGGTATATCTTCAGTAGATTTTAAAAAACTAAAATGCCTTGGATTGTTTACACAGTCAAAAGTTATAAATCTACTTCAGTTATAAGAGCCTTGGGGTAAAATGGGAAGAAGGGATAGAGGTGAAAGAAAGTTCAGGTTAACATAAAATAGTCATCGTGGGTTTTATGCAAGTATGTTCCTGAATTACACGAGTAACCTTGAGGTTAATTCTAGCGGCCAAGTGAGTAGAATGGATCTAAGAACAGGAAATAAACTGATTCACATGTAGATTCTGACCTAACACAGTTGAAAACATTCCCCCTCTTTTCACTAGTTGGTGAAACATATTTAAGGTACTGTAACTACTCTGCTATAAAGAAGAATAAATCTCAAATCCTTTGTACAGAAATGGATGAACCTTGAATCTATAGTATCAAGTGAAATAAATCAGACACATGCATTTAAATATCACATGGTTTCTCTACTATGCAAAAACCATAGAATAAAATTAAAAAGCAAAATAAAAGATAATAGGAAACAGGAAGACAGATCTTTTGCAAATAGGAAGGGGATCAAGAGACAGAAGGAGGGAAGAGAGGGGTGAGAAAAGAGAGATGAAAGGATAAAGATGTTTTATGTCCACGTGCCATCCACACAGCGAGGGTGTTCATTATGTACTGCATATTAATATAAAATATTAAAAATAAGACATTCCAAAATGTCTACCATTTACTAAAAGTGTATAAAACGAACAAATGAATCAAGATACATTTTGTAAAGGTACAATTTCCCTACGATGAATGTGATCATTATGTAAATCTAAATTGTGCCAATAAAATTAAAAACGATAAAAGCAAACAAGTGCTTTTAATAATTGACTGGAAACAACAGAGTCAGCAGAGAGAGCATGGACGAAATACGTCTGGAGTCATTGCAAGTGCACATTTGGGAGCAGAGGGAAAACCAAGCGGGAGCGTGAACGGCTTGTGAATGTCAGGGACCCTACTGTAGTCGTCCTGACCCTGGCCAGTGACCAGGCAGTGCCACCTCCACATTCCGGGTGGTGAAAATGAACTGACTGGTGGCCGAGGAGGAAGAGGTGACAGCAGAGCAGCAGTCAGGTTGCTGATTTTACTCTTGCTGCCCACGCCTCTCCCCATCCACCTGGGGATGGCTCACGAGGTTCGGTAGCAGCTCTGTGTCCTTACTGCCCCTCTGTGGGACACGAGCGGCTATGAAGACGCACAGGGGATGACCGCAGAGGGAGGAGCTGGCCGTCCAGTCTCAGATGCCCAGTCTCCCCCTGACCATTCACCCCACATTAGCGCTCTCAGTGGGTCCCAGCCTCTTCCACAGCCTCTTCATGGCTGCCTTCATCTCTTGATTCCTCAGGGTGTAGATTACAGGGTTCAGCATGGGGGTGATGACTGTGTTATTGACAGACACAGCTGTGTCCATGGGCAGGGCTGTAAAGGGCTGGCAGTAGATGCAGACAGCAGGCGCAAAGTGGAGAGTCACCACCAGGATGTGGGAGGTGCAGGTGGAGAGGGCCTAGCTCCGTCCTTCTCCGGAGTGGGATCTGAGCCTCACCAGAATGATGGTGTAGGAACCCAGCAGCAGGAAGAACCACAGCAAGGTCACCAGCCCATTGTTAGAGATCATGAGAAGCTCCGGAGCGAAAGTGTCCTCGCAGGCCAGTTTCACCACCTGGGGTACGTCACCGTAGAAGGCATCCAGGACATTGGGGCCGCAGAAGGGGAGTGGAAACATGAGAACTATCTGGACAGCGGAATGCAAACCTCCGCCCACCCAGGAAGCCACCACCAAGGCCACCCACAACTCTCTCCTCATGATGGTCACATAGTGCAGGGGTCTGGCGATGGCAAGGTATCTGTCAAAGGCCATCACAGAGAGGGAAAAAATATCTGCCCACCAGCAAAGTGGAAGAAAAAGATCTGTGCCATGCAGTCACTGTAGGAGATGATGGTTCTCCTCTTTGACAGAAGATCCACCAGGAACTTGGGGACTGCAGCAGATGAAAAGACAATGTCCAAGACTGACTTGTTTTTCAGGAGAAAGCACATGGGGGTGTGGAGGCGGGACTCGCAGGTGATGGTGAACACAATGAGAGCATTTCCCAGCACAGTTGTCACATACACAACAAGGAAGACCGCGAAAAAGAAGAGCTCCACCTCCGGGAAGCGAGTGAGTTCCAAGAAGACGGACTCCTTCACCGTGGTGTGGTTGGTTAAGTCCATGAAGAGGAGAGTGCTCTTCTAAGTCAACCTGGGGAGAAGATGAGTTAGGGTCAGGAGGATGCTGCTGGGAATTGGCACCATCATTTATCCGTGGGGTCCGACAGAGAGCTATGGTGACTGTTCCCATTACTGTTAGGATCATTTCCTTCCTTGGGGAATCGAGTCGCTACCTTTCTTTATTTTTAAAGGAGAGGCAGTAGGAAGGGAAGTAAGAATGTGGGGCAAGAGGAAGGAAAGTAGAAGGAAAGACGGAAGCAATAACTGGCAGAGTGCGGGTAATTTTATTTATTTAATTATTCGCCTCCTTACTGCAGTGCTCGGGTGGAACCCAGAGCCTCATACAGGCTGGGCGAGCGCTCTACCCATAAGCCACATCTCCATCTCACCACTCTATTTTTTAATTAAAAATTTAACAATATTTTTGTACATTGCTCTGATATACAATACAATGGAAACCCTAATTTACTGTACCAACATCCAACAACACACGATCTAAAACTGGTACTTGATGTTTCTTTTTGGCATCTATCGGAGAGATATGCAAATAGAACAGGACACTTGGAATTTTTATTGTTTTCTGTCAAGGAAGTCTGTCTACAAGGAAACACATCCACCCCATGATGGTCCTGAGGGCAGGGTCTCTTCAGTTATCCCCATAGGAGGCTCTCAGGGACATATTCGACCCAAGAGCAAGGGTGTGCTCCCTCGGAACACCAGAAAGACTCATATTCTTAGAAAACAAGGACTTTGTAATCAACTACACATCTTTGTCTTTGCCTTCCCTACACTAAACAACATATGTGTGGCTTAATTTCTTTCCGTCTTGTTTTTTTTTGGCGGGGGGATGGAACTCGGGTCGTTATGCTTGTGAGGCAGGCGGCGGAACCACTGAGCTACATCCCTGGCCTTCCTACTGTCTGTTTTTCACATGCAGTCTCTTCATGGTTCCTCCTCTACCTTTTATTGTCTTATCATACATGTTTTATTGTTGCTGCTGGAAAATCTCCATGTGATCCACAGAACATGGCTTATGAAGACAGGGACTGACCGTTCTGGGTCTGTGGGAACCAAGTGGCCAATTCTGAAGAGTCATTGGCATGAATGTGGAGAAAGAGACGCCTTCATAGCTGGTTGAGAGTACAACACAAACAGCATTTTTCCAGTCATTCTGAAAATTGTACTAAAGCTCAAAATGTACAAATCCTGGCAGAAATTCTCCTCTAAGAATTTATGCTAATGAGTTCATAAACCAAATGCTTTAGTATAAAGGAAGAGTGCCAAAGTACAATTTAACCTGGAAGAAATTAGGATTTAAGTGAATGACTCAGATACAAAGTTAGTTTAGTAGGTATGGTGCTATAATACAATTTAGCATTTGCAGGCATTCAAGTTGGCAATGTAGAACTGCACTGTAGACACAAGATGTTCCCTTTTAGTGACAGGTTAAAACGTCTAATGTAATATAGGATGTCATCTTTTTGGAAAGAAAATCTACATGTCTAGAACTCTGGAAATATATTACAATAGTAGCAGTTGTCATCTATGAGTAATTGTAAAAGGACATTGTATTGTGTCCAATTTAAAAATGACTTAAGGGTGAGGGATTTAGCTCAGTGGTACCATGCCTGCCTTGAAAGCACAGTGTTGTGAGTTCGATCCCTGGTACCCCACCCCCCAAAAAGACAAAATGGATTCTGATTTTGAAAATCACTAAATTGTACATACCTATTTACAATTTAAAGTAGAAGATTTTCTCCACTAATATGAGCTCTGACATGTATGTTTTTTCCTTTTCTACAAAATTATTCTAAGAAAGTTGACTTATTTAGGAAAGAGGTGCACAGGAAAGACAGTTCTAATTTTTCTTTCCATATGTGATGGCTCCACCAGGCACTGGCTGGAGGAATCCAGTAGAGAGCCCAGGACCAGCCAAGTTGGGTTTCTGGGAACTGAGGTCAAAGCTATTTATTGTTGGCTTCTCTTTGGAGTCAGTAGCATTTGACTTGTTTTTCTGGCCAGTGACCTTAGAAAATTCTAGACTATAAGGCTCAGAAAGGTTAGGATGGCATGATGACTTCCAGCTACCTTGTAACTTGGGGTTGTCTTGTCACACCCAGAGGCAGCTTGCTCTGAAGCACACAGCCTTTGGAGCAGGTTCCAGGATTTTAAAAATTTTTTTATGGAACTGGGGATTGAACTCAGGACCTTGCACTTGTGAGGCAGGCGGTGGAACCAATGAGCTAAGGCCCCAGCAAGGGTTTTAAATTTTGACTCTGTGACTCCAGCCTCAGCTTCTCCCTCCATGCAATGGCCAGCACAAGGCTCATTTGCAGATTTTACTTCTGATAACTTAGCATTTCCCACTGCTGATCATTCAGTATTGATTTGCTCTGCTCTTTCTTCCAAATGTAAAATTGTCAAATGCAGGAATTCATTTTTTGTTTTTCACTACAAAGTTTGCAGCTTCTACCTGGCACACACTGGTTACTCGGGAACAGCTTTTGTGGGTGAATGGATGAATATTAGGGCTTGAGAGACAGTGGTTGCTCTCTATTTTAATCTCGTCCCATGTCTTGTTTGTGTTGCTGTGCAAGTCAGTTAAAATTTTTAATGCATATAAGCACACACTGTAAACTTAAAAATATCTTACAAATGTAGGAGTTTAATGATATCACAATGGGAACATCATTGTATACTGTGTTTCTCACTCAGCTTCCAGTTAGGTTTTTTTTTTTTTTTGATACCAGGGATGGAACTCAGGACCTTGCTCTTGAGAAGCAGGCAGTGGCACCACCAGTTAGCTTTTAACCTGCTTTTCAGAAAGGGACCATGCTAGTTATTTTCCTACATATTATTGTTACCCAATCCATGTTTATAGAATGAATTTTAATGTAAAAAAATTCACCTCTTACTTTAAATGTGTCTTAAGAAGCCTACATCTAATGTTAGAGGCAGATCTTCATCAGCCTGAAGCTATTAGTTCAAAATGAGTTATACTTGAAAAATTGCAAATGGTACTTTATGTTTTCAGGGGCAAAAGGCCAAAAACTATTAAGATCATAAAACTCTACAATCCCAACATTGCCTGTAGGTGACCATGTCTTCAGGACGTCCTCACCTACCTGTGTGTTGGGAAGGCAACCCTGCCAGGGTCCCCATGTCACCCTCTGCCCTCCATCATCTGAACACATGAAGTTTGCACTCCCACAGACACGAAGGAGAGGTCTCAGAATCTCCAGCACAGGGAGTGGTGTCGAATATTTGTAGGAAATGCAATTTCCAATGGAGAAAGGCGCAGTCACAGATGCAATGGGAGTTATTATAAAGTTGCTAAGCAACATGAAGACACCTGCTCTTTCACACACACACACACACACACACACACACACACAAGTACACAGGTATCCATTACGATAAGACATCTAATAAGCAGGGGATGAACTTGTACGGGAATGCCTGAGAAATTCCCTGCAGGCCATTTCCCTAGGCTGTGTTAACACTGACTTTGGTGCACAGCCCTCGTCTTCATTCTCATGACCACACTTCTCTCAGCAATGTTCAAGAGTGGACTCCATATGCCAGATGTGACAGTGGCAGCAATTTGGTTATGTGATCGATTTCCTTCAAAATAATCAATCATAATAACCAGCCAAAATATGCATTTCTTGTTATGTGCATGTACCAATATGCATGAATAAAAATGAAATTATAAGGAACAACAGTGAAAAAAATATAGTTAGTGCTTTCTGCATATCGAATGAACAGACAAATATAATCCCCACCCGTATAGAATTTGCTGTCTGGTGGGGAGATCAGACGTGGGTTATGTCACATGTGATTGTGACTATGTAGTCATAAAAGTGGGGAGAACAGCAGAGGAATTTAACGCCACCCAGAGCACTTGAGAATGCATCCTTGGGGGAAATGACATCTGATGATAATGATCCCTAACATTAATGTTTTAAATTATTATTATTATTATTAGTAGTAGTAGTAGTACCGGGGATTGAACTTGGGACCTTGTCCTTGCAAGGCAGGTGGCACAACTACTGAGTTAAGTTCTCGGTCCTTAAATTATTTCTAGGAGATTTAAAAAATGTCAAATTTCTTCTTTCAGTCTGTAATAATCCCAACAGACCCTGGCATTGGATGGCTGTCTTCATTATGTGGAAGCCCATGCTGAGACGTGGAAATACTGGCACTTTGAGTTCCACTGGGGCTGGGGCTGTACCTGGCCAGGAGGGCCCTGGCGTCCTGGGTGGGATTTCAGTTCAGGTCTTTCTGGGGAGGATGGAGGAACCCCAGACATCGTAGCACGTGTGGAACTCCATTCCCTTCACTCCCAGGAGAGGAAGTTGCACTGAGACAACACTGTTAGTTTTCAGCCTTATATATTTTAAAATATTTACACGAGAGCAATTTGGATGGGCAGTGATAAAAATAACAGTTATGGCTATGTTAGTTACCCTGAGATACTGCCCCTCACCGACATGTACAAACATTCTGTCAATACAAATATGCAAGAATGTCAGGCTCTTTATTTTTTTTTTGTATTTTTTTTTTGAGACAGGGTCTCACTATGTAGTTGAGATGGACTGGGAACTAACTATGTAGCCCAGGCTGGTCTCGAACTCACAGTGATCCTCCTGCCTCAGCCTCCCGAGTACTGGGATTGCAGGCATGGGCCGCCATGCCTGGCTCAGGCTGTTTAGTTTAAAGAAGAGGACCTATGCAAGGATTTGGATTTCAGAGGCTTCCTTTACACTCTCAGACCACCATGATGCTTGCAAGAGCTGACAATGAATGATTACATTAGTTGGTAACAACAAAAAAATAGCATCTAAGGACCTAAACATCTGAGTTCTGATTTCTTTGAAGCGAAATATTTATTGGTACACTTCAGATAGTAAGATTGGTCCAGTGTAGATACATAGGTTCTAAATTCTAAGAACAGTTTTCTTGTGATTATTTGGGCATAGAAAGGTGCCCTACTGGGGCAA